AAATACTTGTGGTTTTTTTTTTCCCTATTATTGAGAAATGTAAAAACCACTCTTAGCTACTGGCCATACAAAAATAGGAGGCAGGTGGATTTGGCCCACCAGCCATTGTTGGCTGTTTGCTACTATAGGCAACCCGAGACACCAGAGCAAGGAGAACAAAATGAAAAGCTTCCATTGCGTCCTTGGTGAAATGTCAACTTGAAAATAAAGCACATTCCCATGGGCTGAGCATTTCTATCTGCATCCTGAATTTTCTCTCTAAAAATTCAAGCTTAATACTATACAGACATTGCTAAAACTGTATCGCACTGCCCTTTAAAAACAAACAGGTAAGGTGGACAAGTTATACAAAAACAAGTTTTCAAATTATGGTTCTATAACTCTCTGCAGTATCCATTTTCAAACTGCCAATATTGCAACCTGCTTCACAATTTCATCAAATTGGCAGGAACAACTGGATGGGGTTGGAAAGCGATGACTTGCCAAATGTCGCTTGAGCCAGCAGGGGCTGGAAACAGCTTTGCTGACGAGGCTCCAGCTTGGTGAATGCATACATAGCTATAACCAACCTGTTCTCAACCAAGTAATTACCTTCTCTTGGGGAGAGAGAGCGGTATTAAAAAATTGCAGAGGGCTTCCCTGGTGGCGCAGTGGTTGAGAGTCCACCTGCCGATGCAGGGGACACGGGTTCGTGCCCCGGTCTGGGAAGATCCCACGTGCCGCGGAGCGGCTGGGCCCGTGAGCCATGGCCGATGGGCCTGCGCGTCCGGAGCCTGTGCTCCGCAACGGGAGAGGCCACAACAGTGAGAGGCCTGCGTACCACAAAAAAAAAAAAAAAAAAATTGCAGAAAGACAGCACACTGTAGGGGGAGAGGAAGAATGGGACAGAGAAAGGGAAAGGAAGAGAAAGAAGAGAGGGCTGCAAGGAAATAAATTCCTGCAAGATAAAAGAGAAGATGGATGTGGAGAGACTCACAAAAATTCCATCTGGGAAAGTCGTCCAGGAGATGGAAAAGGAAATTAAAGGACTGGCAGGTGAACAAGACTGGCTTTTAAAGGCTTAATAATAGGGATGTTTGGTAACCAATGAGGCTAATGCATAAGTGCCATAAACCAGCAGGGGGGTCTCGCAGGGGACCCGCAGCACACACTAACTGAAGGACATTTAATACAGGATAATGGCAGAGAGATAGGACTGCGGCTGAATCCACTTCCCTTCATTCACAAAGGATGAGCTGGCAGAATTTCATAGCTTGGCACTGTCATTTGAGAGAAGGGGCGGTATCGACTGCAAAAGTCTTTGTAATGTGGGAACCGGAACCAGCAGAGGGAAGGAAGCAGGAAAGGAAGGACGGAAGGGAGGGAGGGAGGGAAGGAAAGAGGGAGGGAAGTTAACAAATGAAGTTAGAGACCCTGTGCTTGTAAGTTCAGGGTTAGGGAATTCTCTGCCATTCATTAGAAAATACCCTTTCAATGCAGCTGATCACTAGGTCGGCTTCTCAAACCTTGATGTGCAAACGAATCACCCCAGGAGCTCTTTATTTATTTATTTTTTAAATACTTATTTATTTATTTGGCTGCGCTGGGTCTTAGTTGCGGCACGGGGGATCTTGGTTGTGGCATGCTGGAATCTTTTAGTTGTGGCATGCAGGCTCTTAGTTGCGGCATGCGGGATCTAGTTCCCTGCCCAGGGATCGAACCCGGGCCCCCTACACTGGGAGTGCAGAGTCTTAACCACTGGACCACCAGGGAAGTCCCCACCCCAGGAGCTCTTTAAAAGGCAGGTTTTGATTCAGTAAGGCTGGGATGGAGCCCGAGATTCTGCATTTCTAGCAAACTTCCATTTGTGATGCTGCTGGTCCAAGGACCACACTTTGAGTCGCGAGGCTCTAGGCCTACACTGTCCAGCACAGTAGCCAGTAACCACAGGTAGCCATTGAGCACTTGAAACGTGGCCGATCCGAGTTAAGGGGTGTCGTACATTCCAAAGACTTAGTGAGAAAGAATCTACAATGTATCATTAATAATTCTTACATTGATCACATTTTGAAATGACACTGTTTTGGATATACTGGCTTAAATAAAATATATTATTAGAGTTAATTTCACCTCTTTTTCCCTTTTTAAAATGCGGCTTCTAAAAAAGTTAAAATTACACACGTGGCTCCTGTTCTATTTCTAGTGCTCAGCACAGCTCCAGGCTCTCCGTCCTCACTCTCTCCTCTGGTTACTGAGCAGTTTGCATGGTTGACCCACAAGCGACGGGCGACACCCCCTCTCTCCTCTTCCCCTTTCCTGCTCTCCTCCCTAGTCCTGCTCCCCCAGTTTTCACCAGGAAAATATAAAGAAATTTGAGGCACTTTAACAAAAGGTGCCCATGAGCTCGTTGCCTCACGCTCAACTCCCTCCTCATACAAGCATTTATTTCAGCAAAGCCCCTGGCTTGTCCATTGAAGCAACACTGGCAAAAATAAGACACAGGAGCTGCACTCCAGCTCACGGCCCAGAGGAGCAAAAAGAGAGGTAAGTAAAGACATATACGACAATGTTCTTGGTGCTGTAATAGAATACATCCAAGGGGCACAGTAGAGACATGATCTAAGGCAGTTCCACTGGCCAGAACTTTCTTGTCTGCTGGATTAGCTATGTAACTTTAGGCAGTGACTTAACCAGACCAATCCGTGTCTAAGCTTCTGCATCTGTTTAATGGGAACAATAATAGTGACCTACCTCAGAGTGTCGGTATGAAAGCGAAATGAGTATACATTTATAAAGCACTTAGGTCAGTGCTTGACACACAGTAAGCTCCGTGTACATGTTAGCCAAATAAATAGACTTGACAGGCCATTGTCAACCTGCCAATGAATGTGCTTAGGCGTAAATGTCTAAATATAATTATGATCTCATCCCGTCCCAATGACCTCAGGAAATTCAGTACTAAAAATGCTGTAAACGATCCCAATGGATGGATAACTTGTAGTTGATTCACACACTTGAATACTACACAGCAACGAAAAAAGAAATAAATCACTTCTGTTCACAACACCACAGATGCACCATGGATGACCTAGCCACAAGGACGACCTTGCAGACCTGACATTGAGCAAAAGAAGCCAGACACACAAGGGTCCATGTTGTGTGGTTCCGTTTATATGAAGTTCAAAAATATGCAAAATTAATCTATGGTGAAAGATTATCTTTACTTTGGGGGTGCTGGTAATGACTGGGGACATACGAAGTAGGCTTCTCGGTGCTGATAATGTACACCTTGACCTGGGTGGTGGTTACCTGGATGTGTTCACTCTGTTAAAATTCACTGAGCTGTACACCTGAAAGTTTCACACTTTACATTATGCATATTATTCCACGATTTAAGCAAAAGAAAGAGAAGCTGATGAGGAGTTCTTTCTAAATCATTTCAGTTGGAAGATCCAGCCATGAATCTCTGGGTACAAAGATGTCAAAACCTACTTAACAAAGAGAGGTCAGTCTGAACACCTTGCTTCTATTCCAATTATTTTGATCTCTGAGCCAGAATTAAGCCCTTCCTAGAGTAGGAGAAATGGGTGAGTGAGATGAAAAGAAGATTAGAGAAAAGGAGGAAAATCAGAATGGAGCAGAGATGCTGAATAGCCCTAGGAGCTCCCAGAAGTGTGTGAAGAACAGTCTATGTAGCTCGGAGAGTAGAGCGTGTGGAGAGAAACAGTGGCCAAATGTTCTACTTCAGACCTTCCTGTGAAGCTGAGCTTTTTTCTTCCCTAAGATTTTCCTGAACACTCCCACATCTTAGAGCTCCACCTGCAGGGTTTCTTCAGTTCCCTGTGGGACTAGAAGGTTTTCCAAATTCTTTCCTCATTGCATTTTTAAGAAGCACTAGTAGTGCTACAAGAGGATGGGGCTGGCTACATCACATGCTCTTGTATTTAATAGTCAAATGGACAAACTTTAAGTAGAAGACCTTAGAGAATATCCAAAGGGCAGAGCAGAAGGACCCAGAACTGAGAACAGTCTTGCTCGCAGCTGTGGGAAGATCATCTAACATCCAAGAGGGATATGTACAGAGAAAGGAGTGTTTGTGATTATTTTTACTTTGTTCCATAACCAATTTATTAATTTTAACTTATTTATTTATTTATTTAGGCTGCGCCGGGTCTTAGTTGCAGCACGCAGGATCTTTTAGTTGCGGCATGCATACGGGATCTAGTTCCCCAACCAGGGATGGAAGCCAGGCCCCCTGCATTGGGAGCACGGAGTTTCACCCACTGGACCACCAGGGAAGTCCCTAAAGATTATATTTTCTTAATATTACACAAAGAAAAAGTATTTTCTAAATTTCATGATAATTCAACCGAGCAATAATCTTTTATTATTTTAAGTATACCCCATTGGTTTGTGAATAACATGGTGAGGATGAAAGAATCTAAGATGAAAAGGTGAGAGAACTGGGTTCTCACTGTAGTCCAGCCACTGCCTAGGTGTGAGACTTTACGTATCTGGACCATATTTACTTTGATTATAAAATGAGGAGAAGGAAGGAAGAGCAGAGGGCTCTGGACTCTAATTCTAAGAAATCTACATCCCCTTACCTTCACCACTTCCAAATGCCAGCACCTACCTTTCTTTGTCTGAGGGCTATCTGTAGCCACTGAAGTCAGAAGATTTGTCTGCCTGTGTGGCAGGACAGAACTGCCAGGGAATTAACGCCATTTGGAAGGAGCCTCCTCCAGTAATACTGGGGAGTTGGTATATAAATACCCCAGCTCTCTTACCCTCAGGTAGAAGAACCGTAAACTATGTGTTTTACGCTATCTCCTCAGAATTTCCCAGAGACATCAAGTTCCACTCAGTCGACATGGTAATTTGCTTGGTAATGCAACAAGTAAACACAGGATTTAGACCTACGTTAGGCGTGATGGAATATGGATGCTTTCTGGGAACTCACAATCAGATCCAAGAGTATCACTTTCAGAATGTTCTAGTAGACTGAGTTTACTTTTAGTTGTCTTTGATGAAACAATCACTATTGTACTCTCTTTCTTAACAGAAATGTGTTTTTTCGAAGACTCACTTCTAATTGGTTCATTAAGCAAAGAATTATTTTGCCCAATTCCTTTGCTTTTCTGCTTTACAGGTGAGTCAGAGCAGGAATGCAGGTCCTTCCCAGGTTGTTTCTTAGCGGAGTAGTTTTTGGTATATTATGCTTTGGTCATTTTCTCTGAAGAAGACCTGCTATTTCTAGGTAATTCCTCTTCTTTTCTTTGACTTCCAGTTCCAGAAATGACGTCTGCTGAAGGAGAACACGTTCTAGCAATGAAATCTTCCAAAGACTCCTGCCGCTGCTCTGTGACTGCGACCCCCAGGTTGTCTTTGGAAGTTTCTAAGGCCTCCTGAGTAGAGACTGGGACATGGAAGGAGTTGACAGGCAAAGGAATCCCAGCATCACCTGTAATTTGCTGAAACTTCATTAGTGCTCCTTCATTGTAAGCTGACTGCATACAAATAGAAACTTGGAGATTCTGCGTTGGTCCTGGGGCGCTCTATTCACTGCTTTCCCTTCCCGGTATCCCTTTCCCATTCTCCCACCAGTGTTTCCTTCCTCACCCAAAGAAACTGTTTATACCAGAATCCTTGATCTTGACATCATCTTCTGGGTGAATTTAAACTAAGACAAAACCCCACAAACCAAACACTGTGGTGATAGGGTTCTTGAAGGCTGCAGGAAAATGGTTCTCTCCACAGACAGGAATTTTAAGGAGTTTAGTAGATAATGTGAACAGAGGAAGGATCGTTGTCATTCAGGTACAAAGCTGTGGACAAGACCGCTTAACCAACGGCTCTTCTCCTCCTACTGGAATGGTAGTCCCTTTAGGCATTTTAACCGCTAAAAATGTGCAAGAATTAGTAGAAGGTTGAAAAACTTGCACCCTCTGGCTAAACCTAGCCTGGTGTTCAGGAGACACGCGAAATTGGATGTATACTCCATTAAAGAAAGTAATGAAATGGCCATTTTTCAAAGATTCAAATTAAGCCACTGGTTAAGAGCTCATCGCTCCAATTTGACGGCAGAGACTTTCAAATCTGCCATTCCAGATAGTTTTCACTAGCAGCTATACTCTACATCTTCTCAAGGAATCAGTATGAGGCTTTTTTTTAATCTAGAGGAAAAAAATAGTAATTGGCTACCTTTGATCTCAAAGAAGGCTTTCCCTTCACTTCCATTCCTCTCCTCCTGTCTCAGTGCAGAAGTGTTTTTACCTAGGGACTGTGTAGCAGACACTGTTGAGAGATACAGTGTTTATTCCCACCCCTTCTCCCTTCTCCATCACAGCCCATAGGGGCTTGGAAAAGTCAGACTCATGTTTCCGGTTTCCCTTATACGAAAGTGGCCATGTTACCTAATTCTGACCAATGAGACGAATGGGAAAGTGTGCCAGGAGGTTTTGCAAAAGGAGAGGAGAGAAGTATGTGAGGAGACCTCCTTCACTGCCCATCCCTTCCTATACAGATGTGGTGGTTGGAGACATAGTAACCACCTGTGACCAGGAGGAGAGACACTGCCAGACACTGAAGATGGGCAAAAGGGAAACTGGAAAGAGTCTGAGTCACTGCGATGCAACCGAGCTGCCAAATCAACCCTGAGACCACCTACTTCCTTGTTAAATAAACACGAAATACCCCTCCGGTTTAGTCCACTATTCAAGAGATTTTTCTTGCTGCCAAAAGTATTCCCAATCGACACAGATTTGTAAAGTAATTTTTTAAAACTGAAGTATAATACACACAGAAATATGCACAAATCGTAAGTATACAACTTGAAGAATTTTCACAGAATGGTTTTTGTTTTGAAATCTCCATTACCCTAATACTTTAGAAACAGTCACAGACTCTGGAGTCAGATTGCTGGGTCTGAAACCCAGATCCACCACTTACTAACTCAATGACCTTGGGCAAATTATTTAACGTCTCTGTCCCTTGGTTTTCTCAATTATGATATGGAAATGACAATACTCTCTATGTCGTAGGGTTTTTGCAAGGATTAAACACATTAATTTTTTAAATATAGGTGTCTGCCACATATAATAGTATGTGCTAATAAGTATTCGTTAGATATAAATAATGTTAACCAGGGTATAACTCAGGAGGACAGGAGAGCAGGAAAGATCTGGGAGAGGGGGTAGATGTTTGAGGGCTGTCCCGCACCTCTGTCCTGAGATGATCTTGGAAGCTAAAATGCCTAATGACCTAGTAAATGCTAAAAATATTGTCCAGCCTAGAGCTGTGTAATGGAGCTACAGACCTCTAGAGGTTGGGTGGGGCTTTAAAATCTCCTGTCTGGCAGTTCTTAACTGGGATCCAATGATGCGCTTCTGGAAGTCCACCATCCCTGATGTGGCCTTTGTACGAAGCGAGCATAAATAGGCATATGTGTGTTTTACTGGGGAGAGGATCGAGAGTTTCCATCAGGCTCTCAGAGGGACCCATGATACACGATAGGTTAAAACTACTTACTAGTTCATCTCCCTGACATCATAGTTATGGCCCAGAAAGAGGCCATCTAACACTTCAACTGAATTGTCACATTTAACTTTAATTACATCTCCCTAGAAGAAAAATGAGGTCAAAGAAAATGTTATTCTACTCCAAAATCCTAGAATATTCCAATGGAAGGGACTTAGGACCTCTTCAAATAGCATACTGCTGCATTTACAGGTGAGGAATCCAAGTTCTATCGAAGTTACTATGACCCGCTCAGTATCCTAGAGAGAGCCAGAGCTGTGGTGAACCAGTTGTCCTGGTCAGCATCGAACTTACCCCACAATGACACTTTGGTGGCAAAAAATCTCACCAGCTCATTTCATGGGCTGGCCCTGCTCACAGCTGTTAAATGCTCCGTACGGAAGCCCTTTAAGTGAGGTTGCCAAGGGCAGTCAGGACCAAGGGGCTTCAAACATTCTATTCCTTTCACTGCCATAAGCTTTAGAGTGATTTTAATTAGCCATACATCTCATGTGTATCAGAGGGTAAAAATGGGGAAATAAAGCAAAGGCTTTTCTACTAACCCAATTTATCATCTTCATGGGAAGCTGTTTCACCATTTCCTTTTTGTCTCTTCCTGTCCTTTGATAAGTCTTTAAGAACTTCTTTCTGAGTGCTGTGTGTGTGTCAACTATGAGTACAAGAGGCGCAGAAATAGCAAATGCAAATACATGAAATAGTTATATGTAATCTGTATAAACGAAACAGTTTCTAAACACAGATTGATCTTTCCAGGGTGCAGGTGGGGGATGGGAGGCAGTGAGCGATACTGATGCTAAACACGAGTTAACAGAGTGACCCATGAGGATGAGACTGGGTCTGGTTTTAGGTTCTGATTAAACAAGGTTTTTTTGTCTTCATGTCAGTTTAAAGGCAAACTTGAATGTCCTGGCTCACAGCTCTAACTCTTGCCTGCTGCTGGAAGGACTTTCTCATTTCTACTAGGTTTTTGATTAATGTCCTACCTGAACTGCCGGTAGGTCTGGATCACTTTATTTCTGTAGGAATGAAGGGGGGGACAAGAAGAAAAGGAAAATAGGCTTGTACAGTTGAGGCCAGGTTACCTGGCTGCAATTTAAGATGCAAAGGTCACTGAGACTTCTGGTGAAACGTAATACGGCAAAAAAAAAAAAAATGTATTTTGCCCAGCAATGATGATTGACATGCACATTTTTACTACCGGAGGAGGAAGGTTTCAAATGTGGTTTCTGACTGTATGACATAAAGAAAAATAACAGAACTAATTATGGTCTTTATTCCATCCTTATTTTTACTTTTTGGTTGTATCATTTTTCTCCCTAAAGCCTCATCCCACCCTTACCCCTCTTCTTCCTAAAAGGACAGAACACATAGCTTTCTTACGCAGCCCCAGGCTACCAGCTACGCCTTTGCTTAATAAAACGCTGGGCCAGTGCAAAGCTGCAGAACTCAGCCCAAATGATGAACAGCTAAGGGTCCGCTCTCAGCGAGGCCCTGACTAATTTCTCTTCATGGCACAGAAAGCTGAGTGGGTGACCTTTCACAACACGACTGAATTGAAAGTGGGTCTCTCTCAAGCAGGCAGGCCACGGGAAGGGACACTTAGTGCTAAGAAATTAACTGTCTTCTCGCAGCTTCCTGGCCCCGTGGGGAAGACTGCTGATTCTCCCCGCTGTCTCTCACCGAGCGCTCCATCTACCTGCCCTTTTTCAATGTGTGGGCTGGGCCAGTCTATTTCCAGTGGATTTTGATAAATCAGAATGGGTGGGAGGAGAGGGAAAGGGAGAGAACAGGGAGGGAATCAGATGAAGAAAAGGGTACTTAAATTTTTCTCTAGGAAAAAGAATCATATATTTTGGAAATCCCTTAAAGAGCAGTAGAGGTAGTTAGATCCAGGCTACTATCATTCCCCCTCCTCTAAGTTGGCCAGGGGGGCTATTTCCACAAAAATATTTGCCTTAATTCACAGCAGTTTTTATAGAGGTAGAGGATATTAAAGGTGGTCAAAACTCCAAATATGTTAATTAACTTAATTAATCACTGAAACTGATTCCAACTGCAGCCAAGCACTATTCCTAGGGGGTCTACTGGCTTCCTCAAAATGAAGGACGGTTTAGGAGCTGGCACTGCCGGGGACAGAGGAAGCAACTGGTGACTGAGACCAGGAGCAGAACAGCATCCGGCTGTCACATCTTCCAGAAAGTCTTGGTGAGCTCTGCTGATTTTCCCCTCTGGCTATGCTTGTTTCTTGCAGCCCAAATATCCATAAGCAGCTTTTAAAAATACCCAAGTAGGGGGCTTCCCTGGTGGCACAGTGGTTAAGAATCCGCCTGCCAATGCAGGGGACACGGGTTTGAGCCCTGGTCCGGGAAGAGCCCACATGCCGCGGAGCAACTAAGCCCGTGCGCCACAGCTACTGAGCCTGCGCTCTAGAGCCCGCGAGCCACAACCACTGAGCCCATGTGCCACAACTACTAAAGCCCGCGCACCTAGAGCCCGTGCTCCGCAACAAGAGAAGCCACCATAATGAGAAGCCCGCACACCGCAACGAAGAGTAGCCCCCGCTCACTGCAGCTAGAGAAAGCCCACGCACAGCAATGAAGACCCAATGCAGCCAAAAAAAATTTTTAAATTAAAAAATACCCAAGTGCATGTTGGTGGGAATGTAAATTGATACAGCCACTATGGAGAACAGTATGGAGGTTCCTTAAAAAACTAAAAATAGAACTACCGTGTGACCCAGCATTCAAAAAGAGTCATGTACCACAATGTTCATTGCACCTCTATTTATAATAGCCAGGACATGGAGGCAACCTAAGTGTCCATTGACAGATGAATGGATAAAGATGTGGTACATATATACAATGGAATATTACTCAGC